GCGTCTTTTGCGTCTAAAACAAAATAACAGGATTATATAGGAGTGGCCCCACCAAAAGCGTCTAGCGTTCGGCGTGTCTCGCAAAAAACGCAAATGAAAACAAATCAATTTGTTTTCTGTAGCGTCTTTAGCGTTTTCTATGAGACCCCGTCGCGTCATAGGTGGACGTAATATTTAATAATACACTAAAAATAAATTAAATACATAGTATGCATTTTTTTTTCATTTAAGGATATTATCTAAAAATATTTTTATGATAACATCTACTGTTTAGGAAGATTCTATTAAATTCAAAAATTTGAAGGAAATGTTTGAAATGTTGAAAAAGTAATAAATTAGAGGAATATTTTCTTACGCGTAAAAAATAGTTTTTATGCGTAAAAGTGTTTTTTTCTGCGTAAAAAAGGTTTTTTAACAAAACAAATAGTTTTTGACGCGTAAAAAATAGTTTTTTACGTGTAACAAATAGTTTTTTACACGTAATTTTTTTTTCGTGTAAAAAGTTTTTTACCAGAAACAATAAGCTTTTGACGCGTAAAAATTAGTTTTTTACGTGTAACAAATAGTTTTTCTACACGTAATTTTTTTTTTGTGTAAAAAAGTTTTTAGCAGAAACAATAAGTTTTTGACGCGTAAAAATTAGTTTTTTACGTGTTACAAGTAGTTTTTTACATGTAAAAAATTTTTTTTTTGCCTAAAAAAGGTTTTTACCAGAAAAAAAAATGTTTTACCAGAAACAATAAGTTTTTGACACGTAAAAAAATAGTTTTTTAATAATAAAATATAGATTTTTACGCTTAACAAATAGTTCTATACGCGTAAAAAATAGTTTTTTTACGTATAACAAATAGTATTTTACACGTATTTTTTTTTCCTGTAAAAAAGTTTTTTTTACCAGAAACAATAAGTTTTTGACGCGTAAAAATTAGTTTTTTACGTGTAACAAATAGTTTTTCTACACGTAATTTTTTTTTGTGTAAAAATTTTTTAGCAGAAACAATAAGTTTTTGACGCGTAAAAATTAGTTTTTTACGTGTAACAAGTAGTTTTTTACACGTAAAATTTTTTTTTTGCCTAAAAAAGGGCTTTTACCAGAAAAAAAAATGTTTTTTTACCAGAAACAATAAGTTTTTGACACGTAAAAAAATAGTTTTTTACGTGTAACATATAGATTTTTACACTTAACAAATAGTTCTATACGCGTAAAAAATAGTTTTTTACGTGTACCAAATAGTATTTTACACGTAATTTTTTTTTCCTGTAAAAAAGTTTTTTTTTACCAGAAACAATAAGTTTTTGAGGCGTAAAAATTAGTTTTTTACGCCTTTATAGGAACTTTTTTTACTATTTTTAGGAGTACTATCATAGTTTAAGGAAAAGAGTAGTTGCACTGTCGCAAATATTTTCTGCCAGTTTTTGCAAGCTGTCGAATATCGGCAGCTTGCAAAGCGTTTCATTTGAATTCCGTCCGTCGAGCTGCGAGGTTCGAGCGTTGCGTCCCAGCACAGAAATGGATTTGGACCAAACCAAAATTGGAACAAACCAAAAAATGAGTGCCTTACTGTGTGCTGCTATTAATTGTAGTAATAATTCAAAAAATTGTTCTTTGAGTTTTTTTAGATTTTCATCGGATGTAAATCGGCAAGCTGATAGTAATTATCAATAAACATTTAATTATATTTTTTTATTTTAGAAGCTGAGATATTATGTAATTAATTAAATGTTATTATTTTTTTTTAGCATGTGGGCAAATCTTAGAAATAGTTTTTTAGATATACAGGTTGTCTCAAATATGCGCATGCAAATATTCTTTGGTCAGGGGATTTGCCATAAAATTTTCATTCCGATAATAATTTACGAGATAATTTATATAGATTGGTTTTTGAAACAATTTTAGAGTAAATATTTTGTACATCTAAAGTCTCCGCAAATTATTTTTTAAATGAAAGAATTTTATAATAGCGTAATCTATTATAAATTTAGTGGACTGTATTTTTTTATGTTTTTTTTTATTTTATTTATTTTTTATTATAAGTGGTAAATATTATATTTACCACTTATATATACTACTTATATAAAAATATTATAGACAAAATATTGAGTTTATATTTGAGGGAAGAAAAGTGCCACACCTAGCTTTAAACCACCGTAAATATACAGGGTGACCCATTATTGCGAGGAAGTCCAATATCGTCGTTCTTGTCGAAGATGTGAAAAAAGTTTTATTCATATATTTCAAGGTTTATAAAGGGTCGTATCCTAAAATATTTGTTATATACAGGGTGTCACAAAAAGTTATGGTAAAGTTAATTTTATTTTTTTTTTAATTATTTTACATCATTCTATATACATTATTCTATATAGGGTATTTTTATGGCGATGGCGTCACTAAAATCGGAATATTTAAAATGGTATATCTCAATTTTTTTAAATGCAACATTCTGTATATTATTTTTCGGTCAGATGCAGAATTAAAAGTGAGACATTTTTATTTAAAGTGTTTCTCTAAATTTTTAAGGGGTTTTGCAGATATTCGCAGTATTATATTACATATAGCTCTTTCAACAGTAAATTTTTATCAAAGCCACCTAATATGATCTTTGTCTGATATTTTATCGTTGAAAATCCCATATGTAATGAAATACAGAAAATATTTGCAAAACTAGTAAAAATAGAACACTTTAAATACAGAAAATGTTCACTTTTTAATCTACATCTGAAAAAAAAAATAATATACTAGATGTTTCATTTAAAAAAATGAATCTAACATTTAAATATTACGATTTTGATGACGCCATAAAAAATACTCTGTATACCGAAAGTAAATTTTCTACACGAATTTATTCTGGTATCCTTCATATTTAAGAAAACATAGCTAAGTATTAATAAAGTTATGTTCACTCTAGTTTTTTGCCACTTTTCATATATAATGTTTTTAACCAAAGTTTTAGTAAATAAGAAATAGAATGGCAACACCGCAGTGTGCTTTAAATAGAATCCAGTTATCTACAGAAAATTAAACTTGTTTTAAATCAAAAAAAAATTGTAGAAAATCTCCGAAATAGATAATAATATAAAAATATGTCATTATACAGGGTGTTTCAAAACAAATGCGAAACACTTCAGGGGGTGATTCCTTGTTCAAAATAAAGGGTAGTTTGCTTCATAAACGTTGGGTCAAAAGTCAACCATTAGGGAGATATCGCGGTACAAAGATGGCGGAAAAATAATGTTTTTATTTTTTATCTTGAAAACGAAAGAGATAGACTAATAAAATTTTATGGAAGCATTACTGTTATGAAAACACACTTTCTGATAATTTTTTCACTTTTTTTAAAATGAGTGGAAGGGGGTTGAAATAAACTACCCCTATCATTCTTGTTAACGAAATTTAAAGAAAAATCTTATCAAACACATGCAAACATTAATTTGGATAGTTTAGTTTGTTTAGATACTTTTTATCTCTTGTATTTTTGATAAAAACTCACCGATTTGAAATTAAAAATAAAATGTAAAGCATTACATGCCAGGACAAAAACATTTTCTGATAAAGAATCTAGTGGGCTGCTGTAATTTTTTTTAGGAAAACATCTAGTCGGCCGCTGTTACTTTTTAGGATGTTCCTAATATTATTTTATTTGACATTACTTTACTGCAATACGTTATTATCTAGATGATTATTATTATCGTTATTATCACTAGATTCTTAATCTAAAAATGTTTTTTGTCCTGACATGGAATGCTTTACATTTTATTTTTTAATTTCAAATCGGTGAGTTTTATCAAAGAAACACAAGAGATAAAAAAGTTTTTAAACAAACTAAACTATCCAAATTAAAGCATTTGCATGTGTTTTATAAAATTTTTCTTTAAATTTCGTTAACAAGAATTATAGGGGTAGTTTATTTCAACCCCTTCCACTCATTTTAAAAAATTGAAAAAATTACCAGAAAGCGTGTTTTCATAACAGTAATGCTTCCATAAAATTTCATTAGTCTATCTCTTTTCGTTTTCAAGATAAAAAATAAAAACATTATTTTTCCGCCATCTTTGTACCGCGATATCTCCCTAATGGTTGACTTTTGACCCAACGTTTATAAAGCAAACTACCCTTTATTTTGAACAAGGAATCACCCCCTAAAGTTTTTCGCATTTGTTTTGAAACACCCTGTATATGTATATTTTCCGCATTTCTTCCCATCAGAAGATTTTCAGATACAGAAGAATTGTTACCTACACGAAATGTGAAAACATTCTGTTTTCAAGCAAGTTTTTACTCGATGATCAATTTTTTTATTTTATTTTATTGGGAACTCTATTTTTCTAAATACATATCTGTGAAACTACGGCGAGTGCCACGACTATACTTTGCCTAGTTAATAGACCAGAACTATACAGCTACGTCAGTGGTCACGGGAGGCGAGAACAAGGTTGCAGAAAAAGAACAAAGGATTTGACAAGGAGTAAATCTTCTAGTTTCCTTATACTATGGTACTAACACCCCCCAATTATTTTACACCATTTTAATGACACCCTGTATATCACTGTAATCACAAAACTTCAATCTATTTCCGAATTGTATAGGCATTTTAAATTATGTATTTATTTTCGAGAAAATTTAATCCAAACATAAGGAATATCTTGTTGATGTTTGATCTTCAAATCTTAAAAATAAATAAGTTGTCTAAAAATGTGCTACAATACGGATACATTTATCTTTAATTTCCTTCTTCATTTGTGTAAAAATACCTAGCCAGTTTTATATAAGATTGAATTTAAGAAACAACAGATTCTGTGGGGAAAATGGGGGAACACCAAGACACTTCTTGACAGCTATTCATGCCATAAACTTTGGTACGACTGATATGGCAGATGAAGAACTAACCTCTGTAAAACCGTCTCAGATACTGTCTTTTTCAAAGCCCCCTGAGACTGCATGATGAGTTATAACCATAGGTTATAACTCAATAAAGGTTTACACAACAAGAAATAAAGAATAGTTTTGGTCTATTACTTTTTATTAAAGTTTATATAACATTTACACGATTATCGTTTCTTAAATAGACACCAAAAGTAAATACACTGTTAGATGTACAATACAATAAATACACGTATAGGTGTTAAATTCTTTTTACCACAATTTGCATTTGGTTGAAGGGTTCATTGGACTGTCCAATGGACAGCTGAAAGCTTCAGCAAAGTCCTCCATGTTAGATACAACTCCATTAACACGGATCTTTGCTCTTGGATGACAACTGCTGCTAGTATCGCAAGTTTGTTTCAGTAGATTCAGGTATTCTAATGATTCGTTGTTACACCACATCTAAGAAATTAAGAAAAATGAAGAAATATTATAATTCTAGAGAATATAAAGTTGAAAGTTTCTCGATCAGTTTTAAAACCAAAAACTCTTTTGTACGTTTTTTTTCTGTCTTTTTTTAATTTGTCTTGACTTACCGTTCCAAACCCAATAAAAAACATCTGATCCGTAGTAAACTGCTCTGATTTGAACTGAGTTTCTGAGTTCTTCGTTTTGGCCAGTTTCTTTTTGAGTGCCTTCAAGGCTGTTCTTGTACCTCCATTGTCTGCAAGATTTTCATTCAAACTGTTACTGCTGTCCATCTAAATCAACCAAAAAAAAAAGAAATTTTACGAAAACATTTTTTGAAGAAAAACTTGGAATTATACAGGGTATTCGCCTCGGTTGATTATACGAAAACAGAAAGATGTAGAAACAAATTATTTTATGAGTATATGTGGGGAGACAATATGCATACTAAAGTTAAATTTTTTCTTATGGAACACCCGGTATTTGATTTCATTTTTGAATTCTTGGAGATAAATCTATTGTCGATTTTGAAAATAGCTACTAACTGTCAGTAACAAATTGCCATGGCGACACAAGCCATCTTGATTGCCATTTTATTGAAAAATCGCTTTTTATTCATAATTTGAGCCAGATAGGTATAGAAAGAAGTTTTTATGTAAAATATATATTGAAAATAGACCAGCAATTTTTGATACTCCTGTATACATTTAAGTAGATACCACATCACAACCCATAAAAATTTTGTTTCTACATCTTTTCGTTTTC